ATTAGGTGTGTATTATGTAGGTAAACGTGATGGGCAAGTTAAATTTAAATTTAATTATGTATAACCATTGTTTAGGAAAAAGATTCTGAGCGATTTTAAAATAAATATTTATTGGCGAAAGCATGGTATGTGTACAAAATATAACAATATATTTTAAAAGTTCCAAGTATCCAGGAATAATTGAATAATTGCATTTATTTTTGAGCTACTATTATAACAACTCATGAGTTATTTTTCATTAAATTTTAAAGCTTAATAAAATAAAAAGTTATTARTCCATACATTACTGTCCTAAAAGGTGAAAAAAAACACATTGTCGTATTTGCCAATCACTTCTGACGTACCTACACTATTAAACACACATAATTAAAATATAACACTTTATATATATATTATATATTATTTTCTATATATCAGTGACTGCATTAATGACAGCCTAACCTTTAAAGGACCCACATTATTTTGCCTTCTTTTATCACATATATATTTGATAACGCTTAAACTAGTCCTTAACGACTAACAAATATGTAACCATTCGCTGCATATAAAATTTGGAGTTTTTTTTGTTGGCTGTTCATAAACAAAATGATCCAATAAAAAAACATGCATATTGCAGAACCATGAAGTAAAAATATTTTCTATATCATATAAATAATATGCAAATATCTATAATCAAAAATCAAATCATATTTGACAACTATAAAATAGACATGTTGACATGTGAAATAACTATTAGTATTACGAGTTTATGACTATTAATTTTATGATTGAAACTTATATTTACTTAATACTTAGTTTAAAAACTATCTATGGACATCTCATACGAAGAGAAGAACCAACATTATGCCAAACTTGTAGAGAACCGCTTAAATTGAACACCTCGTGCGCTGTCGAAACCACGTGAAAATCAGAAGTATTCATAGAATTCCAGACAGCCTCCTCGAAGCTCTGTGCCCCATTAATGACATCATTCATAGAATTATTTCATTTCTTAAACATATTGATTGTATAACGCAATCTAGTGAATTCTATGTATTTATTTTTATTTAACTAATATTTATATCGTTGTAAGCTAATAACCTTAGTTGTTGATGCTTAACCACGAATAAAAAAAAACTATCTATGTTCAGATTTCAATCATAACATCAATTTATTTAAGATATACATATCATACACTTGTAAGTGATGATATTTTTTTTGAATTTATAAAAAAATCTTTGAAAAATATAACTATAATATAGTCATTTTTACTCACTTTTATACACCATTTATTTAGGTAAATTTTTAAAATTGTTATCATTGGCTTTTTGCAAACCAAATACTGTTTATGATTATGAATCGCAGAGAGTACATTTAACATTAAAACTTGTTGAACTTTGCCACCTATAGGTAGTAATGTACTATCATTGAGTTTTAAAACTTTATAGTGATTGATTATAAATTCTTAAATAATAATAGAGTACCTACATARTAGTGACCAAAATAGCTATATGTCTTATCATTATAAGTGGATGTATAGATTATTATTTGAAGTTTATCATTGTAATTTGTAATTGAAACCTATTGGTTTTAAATAAATTCTAGAGAAACTATTTACTTATACAACAAAAAATGTCTTGAATTCTCTAGAAAGTTTTCATACCATAAACACGAACGTATAAACTTTTTAATTTAAATCCTAAAATTATTATTCTCGTAGATTGTAGTAGGTATCGATGTAAATATGTAATATACAACTCACATCGAAGGATTTGATTTCTATTCTCAATTCACTGTTACAGTTTTAACTATGAAAGATGGAGTCACTTTTGTATGTAACTGGCGATTCTAACTACTAACAAATACATAACACGTGTTACTAATTTATAGTTACAGATTTAACTATGTTTCCCTATCCACAACTATCTTTATATTTTACATTTCAATATATTTGGGATAAATCTCTTATGATTCATAAGAATGGACACCTAGTTAACTGTTTCCAATTATTTTATCGATAAGCAATTTAATATCATATCTTAATTTTATAAATTGGTTATGTATGTATTAAAGTTAACAGTTAGTAATCAGTATTATTAATTATTATATAGCTATCCATGAAATTTTCCAATTAAAACAAAAAACTAGTTATAATATAAAATAAATGTTTTGTGATTATAGGTTATGTATTTAATGATGGATGACTTATGAGTATGGTACACTGAAATATATGAAAATAATTAATGATTGATTGTTTTGAATATAAATTATATGAAAACTATTAAATCTAAAATTTAAGTTTGAATATCACATGATATATGCAGTTATCAAGGCAGTTCTTTGGGTAGAATTTCATCGTAAAGTATAGTTTTCAATACAGTATTTGCAATTTGCARTGCAAATTCGACAGTAATCTCTTCTGCGATTGGAGTGATAATATCCAAAACAACTCGACGGTTTTGGTGGTAAAACGTCGACGCAGTTTCCGCTAAAAACATTTAAATAACCATACATAATTTACAAATGATTTAATTAATGTACAGTGAATGACTGTCAGTCATTATTCGTTGGTTTAAGAATTAAAATTGTTTTTAGATTTATAAAAAAATAAAAAACAATTAAGTTAAATMTTTGAATAAAAAATAATCATATGGACTGTATATAGAGCATACTTAAGACATCGTTATTTTTGTTGATGTTTTTTGGTATTATTTTTCCATTAGCATCTCCAACTTTGAGTTTGATTCGAATATCCTTTACTTGGAAATATTCACGATTTTTTTTGTCTTTTAATACTTCAAGACTCGCTTTGACGTCAGCTTTTGTGTTAKCTGTGAATAAAACAATAATATTCATTTATGAATGTATGATAGTTATATTATATTTCCTAGATAAGTTGTGGTTCGAAAAACGAATGTTATCTATTTAGTTTCATTAATCAAACACTATAGGTGAGCCTATAATAATACAYCATTCGACATACTTATTTTAATAATTATTATTTAGCTATTATTGTACCTATGACAGTCTTGTAGTTTCATTACAACGTATACGAAATTAAGAACATGTTATTGTTACACTGTATATTGACATTTTCTAAGTTGATAACATGACTTCATGTCTTTTTTGACTTACTTATGTTCCCTACAAATATTCCTTGACCTTGGAGTGGAACAACCATTAGACGACCGTCGATATCGTACGTACAGTTAACAAATAGATTTGGGAGAAGAACAGTTCCTTCGCCATTCAACTTTTCAAAATTTATTCTGGAACAGTATATAAAGTCACAAATAGTTCAAATATTTGTATACAAATTGTAGTCGGTCTAGCGTTGTCATTGGTGTCAAGTTGTTTGGAAACCTACCTAAACCAATATGTAATTAAAGGTATTGCATAACTATAATAGTGGTATGTGGTATTCGGTCCAGTTTTTGCACCAGCGCAATTTCGTGTTGTGCAATATTGAGAAAGAAAGAAATTATCAAGATTGATAATATTTTTTTTATAAAACTAAAACTAAAATTTTTAGGCTATGAAAATATTTTTTCGAAAAATAATTAATTTGGATGTCATTATTATTATCATGGTCAACTGTCTATACATTGTATAACACCGTGAATACTRAATAATATTGTGTTACCACTTTCACCTAATCACGAGTTTTTATATTTTCAGTGATTATTTGTAATAAGTACATGCATATTATATACACTATTTCATTGTATATAATATTATATATTTACTGTATCTATTATCTATATGTATATTATATTAAAACTAAAATCATAATATATTTATTTTAGTATAACTATTATAACAATAAATGATTTGTTAAAAATTAAAATATGTTAATTTATTAAAGTAAATTATATCTCATACACGCTAAACCTTTAGATTATACATTTTAAATCGTAATTAATTTCAATTCATTGTATTCAAAAGATTTAAGTTGGATACAGTGTACCTACTAAAGACTTGAATTCCAACTTTAAGATATTTATAGTTAACTTATTATTTTTTATTTATTTTTTATYSATAAAATTTAAAGTTAAAAGATACTGAAAACATGATAGGTACATTAAAAGGCGTTTAGATTGRAAAAAATAACTGAGCAATTCATAACACAATATATCATATTTTAGGAATATAGAAATTTAATAATTCAATTATCATAATTTATATCAGTATACATATTGAAATGTTATACAATAATGAATAATAATATTATGTTTAGATAGATTAAATATTAAATTTGTATTAGAATTAGTTTTCATATTTGACAATTTTAGAAGCCATGACATGTACTTTAATGTCATCTGTATTGATGTTGTTTGCACATTTTATGTCATACTGTGAATATGTCATATAATATTTGAAATGTACACATTTGTACTCATTTGTGCATATTAAATAAATATTAAGAACAGGGGCGTCATTTCAACTTTTTGTAACGTATGCTAACAAGAAAGCAGGCCAAAAAAATTTTCAGCAGGTCAATATATATATAGACTAATGTTATACCAAAAAAAAAATTTACGCTCGACAATTTTATCCTCTATACATCTAATGATTTAATATAAGCACACTCACAACCATATTTAATTATCGAATTATTTTTCTATTATATAATAATATTAATAATGTATTATTCAACGGCTCAATTTTGAGCATGTATACCTATTGTTATGACATAGTGATTAGCCGTAGTCACTTATTTGTTCTGCG